GGGGGGGGGGGGGGGCGTGGTGCTCGGTCACTCGTAGCTAAAACTCTGAGCCTCAGTTTCCTCACCTGTAAATTGGAGATGATGACGGCATTTACCCCGGTCATCTGAGGCTTGATCAAGATGGCCGGCGTGGGCCTGGCCCAGAGAGGGCGTTTGGTGCCTGTTGCCTCACCAGCTCCCACCATGGCCGGGCTCTGCAGGTCACCAGTCCCGCCCCGTGTTCTGCACCATCAACAATGAGGTCTATCCCGACCACATGTGCCAGCACCAGCCACGGCCGGCGGCCCACCGCCCCTGCAGCCCTCACTCCTGCCCACAGACCCAACGGTGAGGCCCTTGCCAGCCCCTCCACCCATGATGGGGCCCAAGCACTTGGGTGGGAGGGATTGGGGTGCCGTGGCTGCTTGAGGTGTTGGGCACAGAGGTTGGGTGATCCAGCGCTCCCCGCAGCTGTGGCTGGAGTGGGGGCAGAGGCAGCTGTCCCTTGGGGCGGCAGTGGAGGAGCTGAGCATGAGGCCCGGCTACCCTGACCGCACAGTGCCCGGCCGTCCAGGCTGGTGGCTGGAGGGCTGGGGAAGGTACTGGAGGCCCCGTCTGTCTGAGCCGGCAGGGGGCTTGGCAGGTGCCCAGGGTGGCCAGAGATCGGGCAGAAGGACCTGAAGGTGCCTGCAATGCCTTTGTTCGTGCACAAAGCACCTCTTACCACACCTGCCCGGAGCCTGGTGCCTTGCAGGGCCCGGTGGGAACAGGTGATCTGCAGGCACAGGCCCCCGCAGGGCTGGCGCTGCCCTCCTGCCGTGGTGGCAGCTGGCCTCTCCGGATGGTGGGCCTTTGCATGTGTGGTGGGGCTGCCCTTTCCCCTGGGTCCTTGTGCCCAGGGCCAGGCAGGGCCCCTCTGAGTGCTGCCCCCAACCAAGGTCAGGCCCTGAGAGACTGGAGTCTGGCTGGGGGTGACAGGACCTGGTGAGAAGGCCCCAGGGAGGTGCGGGTGAGGGCAGGGGAGCTGAGGGAGGCAGCCTGGCTGCGTGGTGCGGGGCCAGCTCGTGGTGGTGGGAGATGGCGAGGGGGCCCGGGATCGGCCTTTGTGCGGAGCTCTCTGCCCCCCAGCTGCCCAGGCCCAGGTGGTCAGAGGATGGGCGGGGGGGGTGGGGGGCCTCCAGTCCACTCCTGTGTGTGAGAGCTGGCACCCCCTCGGGCCTGGCCTCGGCCCCGGCTGCTGGGCCGGCCTCACCGGTTCCTGCTCCCTGCCAGCTGGAAGACAGGGCCCTGGACGCCGTGCTCGGCCTCCTGCGGAGGCGGCTCCCAGTCCCGCTCCGTCTACTGCGTCTGGTCCGACGGGGCCGGCGGCGAGGAGGCGATGGAGGAGGTCCAGTGCGCAGGCCTGCCTGGCAAGCCCGCCACCACCCAGGCCTGCAACCTGCAGCGCTGCGCAGCCTGGCGGGAGGAGCCCTGGGGAGAGGTGAGGGGGGCCAGGCAGGGGTGGGCGGAAGTCAGAAGCTGGGTCTTGGGCCTAGGGCGGGGCTGGGAGGTTTGCTCTCTGCCGTGGAAACAGACCCAGTGAAGTCACCTGCTGGGTGGGCCTGGAAGCTGTGGCCAAAGCTGGGGCAAGGAGCGGGTGCTTAGCTTCCTGCTCCACTGCTTGTCCTCCTCGGGGTCCAGGCAGGGCGGGCAAGGCTTTGCCGTGGCAGGAAGGCAGCTGGCACGTTGCTTGGGGGCAAGGGAGGGGCCGCACAGTCCGGGGTGTTGGCCATGGCTTCTGACACCTACATGTGTCCAAGTTGCAAATGAGGGAAGGTGGAAAGTGCACCTCAGCCTGGTGTCAGCGTGCGCGGCTCAGGCTGTGTGACCTCAGGGGAGTGGCTCAGCCTCTCTGGTCCTGGGAGCTGGGCATGGGCCGTCGGGTGCTGTCCACCCTCCATGCCGGGCCGGTGGGCCTTTCGCTGTCTGACCAGCGTGGCTCCTGGGGTGAGAACCAGCAGCTGCTGACAGCCTGGTCCTCACAGTGCTCCGTCAGCTGCGGTGCCGGCATCCGGAGGAGGAGTGTCACTTGCCGGGGCGACGAGGGGTCTCTGCTGCATGCCACGGCCTGCTCCTTTAAGGACCAGCCGCCGCTCACTGAGCCCTGTGTGCACGACGACTGTCCCCACCTCAGTGACCAGGCCTGGCACGTAGGCGCCTGGAGTCCAGTGAGTACTTGCCCCCAGTACCTGCTGCCCAATCCTGGTCCCTTGGTCTCTGGTGGTGGCCGCATACATGCCTGTCCTTGGGTCTGACATGCACTTGGCATCCTCAGCCAGTTCCACGATGGCGGGGAGCAGGGACTGGGACAGCTGCCGGATGCCGATCACCTCGTTCACGCAGTCCAGGTTGGAAATGATGTTCAGCCGCACCTCTGGACACTGAGGGGGGGACAGGAGGGGTCTGAGGGAATGCACTGCGCATGGTGAGCCAGGACAGGGGGACCCTCCCCTGTGGGTACCCTCACGAGCTCTCTCCCTGCACCTGGGGCCCGCTGCCTCTGCACAGTGTCCTCTCTGTACACATGGTGTTCTCTCTCCTCACCCCATGGGCCCTAGTGCTCCAAGAGCTGCAGCTCGGGCATTCGGAGACGGCAGGTGGTGTGTGCCATTGGGCCACCCAGCCACTGCGGGAGCCTGCAGCTGCGGAAGCCGGCAGAGGTGGAGCCCTGTAACACGCAGGCCTGCCCCCTTCCTCCGGGTAAGGACGGGGTGGAGGCCGGCCGGACCCCTACTCCACCGCACACCCAGCCAGCACGTTCTGCCTCTGGGCCTTGGTCTGCGTCAGCCCCTGGGCAGCCCGCCTCCACCCCTGCCTCTGCTGCAGCCTTCGCCACCCACAGTGCAGTTCTCTGCCACCTGTTTCCCTCAGAGGGAGCGCCCCTTAGCCCACCCCACAGCTCACTGCACCTGCTATCACCCTTAGGTTAGTTTCTTGGGCTGCAGGGTTGTATCTGACTTGCAGGGCCTACTAGTTATAAGCTGCTTGAGGGCCGGGTCTCTGCCTTCCTTATTGCTGCTTACAGCCCCACGTGACAGTACTCAGTGTTTGTTGACTGAGTGCAGTGAGGGGAGAGGGTCCACACTGCTTCTGCGTCTGTCGCCCCCCTTCCCCACCATCCCCACTGGGAAAGGGTGTCCCAGGCGTGAGGAGCTGCTGGAGGGAGGTCATCGGGGTGAGCACCTGCTTGGTGTGAGGATGCGATATTCAGGAAAGTGCAGGTTGGCCGGGGTGTGGGGGTGGCCTTCTGGTGCAGAGGAGAGGTGTGTTGGGCCCTGACATACTAGTGATGGGGGCCCCGTGAGCCGTGATGGGGACCCCGTGAGCCAATGAGCCATGATGGGGACCCCATGTGCCGTGATGGGAAGCGGTAGGATTCCATGGAGGCCAGAAACCAGTGGCCTGGAGTCCACAGCTAACCTGGGCCGGGTTCAAATCTCCACTCCATTGCCGACCAACCGTGCGGCCTGGGCAGCTGCCCCTCCTCTCTGACCCTGCTTGCCCATCTGTATAATGGGGTCAGTAAGAGGGACTTCCCAGGCTGTGGGGAGTTGCTGGGCACAGGGCCCGCGCCACAGAACTCAGGAGCAAAGCGTGGGCCGTGGTGGCGGAGAGGCTCCGGCCTCCGCCTGGCCCCTGTGATGCATGAGCAGGAGGCCCCTCGGGCTCCTATGATCCAGCTCCCGAGAGCCACTCGGGGCCCCGGGGCCTGGACTCCTCCCCGCAGGGGTGGCCCTGAGCCTCCCGAGAGGCATTCACAAGGCAGAGGGAAGGAAGCGGAGGGAGACGTCCGGGCCAGGCTGAGTTGTTAGGCAAATACCCTCCACGATCATTTTTTAATTCTTTATTGTTGAAAGTCTTACCCGTGTCCCCTTCCCCCCATTGCCTCTCCCAGCCTGCCCCGCCCACCCGGCACAGTGGTTGTGGTGTGCGCTCATGGTGGAGACTCTGGAGAAATTAGAGAAATAGTTTATGTGGAGAAGCTTAGGTCGCCTCTGGTCCCGCCCACAGTGGCTTCGCTACTCCCAGGGATGTGTGTGGCTTTGTCTGCTTTTCCCCTTTGGGGCCATTTGGGTTGTGACCATTTTTCCAGCCTCATAGATGCTCATGGCGAGGGTGGAGAGTTGCGGGGTTCCCGTTGCTGTACCTGATGCTGTAGTGCAGACAGCGGATGCCCAGGGGGAGGTCGGGGGTCAGAGAGGCCCGTGAGGGTGGGTGCCTGAGTGGACGCCGGCAGCCTCTGCTTCCTCCTCTTTCTAGGCTCCAGAGCAGTGCTCGCCAATGGCAATAGAACGCCTGCCACAGACGGCGTTAGACGTCTTCTGAGAGCCACATTACAGATACAAAAAGAAATAAGTAAACTTATACTTAATAACATGTTTTACGTAACATGCGATTCAAATAAAAATTATGAAGGGGATATTTTTGCATTCTTTCTATATGAGATTTTAAAAAAATATATATTTTATTGATTTTTTACAGAGAGGAAGGGAGAAGGATAGAGAGTTAGAAACATGGATGAGAGAGAAACATCGACCAGCTGCCTCCCGCACACTCCCCACTGGGGATGTGCCCGCAACCGAGGTACATGCCCTTGACCGGAATCGAACCTGGGACCCTTCAGTCCGCAGGCCGACGCTCTATCCATTGAGCCAAACCGGTCAGGGCTACATGAGAATTTTTTAAAAAATAAATCTTCAGAATCCAATATATAATTTGCACTTACCGCACAGCTCCGTTCGGATGCTAACATTTCACTGGCATAGGTGATCAGCGTTTAGATTTCATAAAATATGCACTCAGAAGAGTAGATTGACTACCCAAGTTGTTCCAAACATACTGAGGTGTTTTCCTATGAATGAATCAAGCGTCAGTATTTAAATTTAAGATTAAATGAATCCTGATGAAAGAATGTCAAACGCAGGTTCTCCATCACTCTGGCCACATTCCAAGTGCTCAGTACTCTGCCCTCAGCCCAGGGTGCGAGGGCGGTGACGGGAGGTCTCAGGCTGCGGGCTGCTCAGGGCTCAGATTATATTGGTCAGGAGAGCCCACGGGAGCCATTGAAAGTTCTGGAGGAAGCGGTGACGCCATGAAAGCTGTTGGGGAGGACAAACTGGGCACCTGCCCGAGGGTCAGACTGACGGGGCGACAGCGGGGAGGCGGGAGCCGGGTGGGGAGCAGGCCGCAGACATGCCGGTGCTATAAAAGCAATAGAAGCGAAGGGGCAGGTGCTGGCCCAGCAGAGCCTGGCCCCAGAGGGTGTGTGGGGAGGGGTCCTGGGCGCCAGGGGAAGCCCGAACAGATGGATGGGGAGAGTCCACAGGGGAAGCGGAGGCAGGGTGGGCTTGGTGGACAGATGTCTCTCGCCTGGAGGTGGCAAGACAGCAGGCAGAGTCCCAGGCTGGCTGGGGACTGGGAATTCGGTCTGAGAGAATGGGGGGTGGGAGGGGGGGAAGTGACAGAACTGGAGGGAGAATTTGAGTCCGGAGAGAGGTTTGGGCCTGGGTGGGAGGGCAATAACACAAAAACAAAGATTTTATTGCATGACTACTGAAGTCTTCCAACCCTGACTTATTATTTTGTAAATATTCCCTGGGGACTGGCAAGATGCAGTCCACATGGGAATGGAATTTTCACTTGCTTTTTAAATTTTCTCCCATTGTGTAATAATGTGCTTATTGTGGAAAATTTGAAAAACGCTAACAAATAGAAGGACCCCACCCCCCCATCCCACCCAGCACACACGCCCGCACACACACGCCCGCACACACACGCCCGCACACACACGCACCCGCAAAGCCCTTAGAAAAGTTCACTCTGAGCCTTTGGGGTGTGTTCTGTCTCATTTTATTCATCATTTTTAAAAATTTCCGCTTTCTTTAGTCTTTTGCATTTTTCTCCAACATTTTATAATGAAAAACATTTTGAATAGCTGTCATGGTGATTGAATGTAATAAGCCATAACATTCACCCATTCTAATGATATAATTCATGATTTTTAGCAAATTTGCCCAGCTGAACAAGACAGGGGAAAATTTTTAAAATGGAAACGTAGAACTGTATAGTGAGGAGCCGTGTACCCACATTCTAAATTCTACAATTAATACTTTGTTATATTTTCTTTTTCCTGTTAAAAATATTTTTTAATTTCAGAGAGGAAGGGAGAGGGAGAGAGAGACACACCCATGATGAGAGAGAATCATTGACCGGCTGCCTCCTGCACACCCCACACTGGGACGAGCCCACAACCCAGGCAGGTGCCCCGGGTCGGGCTGCTTTTCATTATTCTCTTCCTACTCTTCCCTCTAGTGATCCAGTTACTTTTAATGTGGACTCTTTTCACTGAGGTAAAATTCACATAACATACGGCTAAACACTTTAGCGTGTTTGACTTGGCTGTTCGGGGGCGTCACAGTGTAGCCCAACCACCAGTTCCCCCCTGGTTTCAGAAATGCCCCTCACGCTGCAGAGCGTGGTGGACCCGCCGAGCCATCACGTCCTGTGAACCCCCATCCTCCCCAGAACCTGCCCTGCTTTCTGCCTGCGGATTTGCCCGTTCTGGACTGTGTCATGGATAAGGGTCCGTACACCTTCAGGGCCTGGCTTCTTCCACTTGGCAGAATGCTTCGGACGTGCACCAAGTTGTAGCAGGCACCAGCACGCCATTGCTTTTTATTTTTTATTTATTTTTTCTTATTGGCAATATTACAGATGTCCCCCACTTCTCCCCCTCTCCTCCCCTCCAACCAGCCCTCAGCCCCGCCCAGGCCTTCACCACTCTATCGTCTGTGTCCATGGGCTGTGCATATATGCATGTAAGTCTTCGGTTAATCTCTCCCCTCCCACCCCAATGCCATTGCTTTTTATGGCTGAATGACTCTTCTGTGGAGACACCACCATTTGTTTACCCCATTCATCTGCTGGTGGATGCTTGGGTAATTGCCACCTTTGGCTGTGTCAGGTCGTGCTGCTGCAAGCATTCACGTCCACGTTTCTGTGTGGACACGGGTTTTCATTTCTCTCGGGTTTGTACCTAGGAGTGGGATTGATGGACTCTGTGGTAATCCCAACGTTTAACTTCTTGAGGAACCGCCGGACTGTCACCACCGTGGCTGCACCGTTTTACATTCCCGCCAGCAATGAGGACAGGCCAGTCTGTCCACATCTTCACCCACAGTTATTATTCAGATTAAAATATATAGATATAGTTTATATATATTCGTATTGATTCTAGAGGAAATGGAAGAGAGAGGGAAGGAGACAGAAGCACCGGCCAGGCTATTCAGGTTTTTTTGTTCGAGCCACCCTAGTGGGTGTGAAGCAGTGTCTCCTCTCGGCTGTGTTTAGCATTTCCTGATGACCAATGATGCCGAATATCTCATGTGCTTTTCGGCCATTTGCGTATCTTTGGGAAATGCCTGTTCAGTTTCTTTGCTCGTTTTTAAATTGGGTTATTTGTTCTTTCGACAATCCAATTTTTAAAAATTGTGTATGACTTTTTGTCTTTTTTTTATAGTTGGGATCAAACAGATGCTAACTTTATATCTGGCTTCCTTTTTGCTGAACACGTAATATTAGCATTTTCTATGCGATCAAAGGCTCTTGTAAGACGTGGGAAGGGTGTCTTATGAAATCACAGGCACCGCT